TTCGTCGTCCACACCTTTTTTCTAGCTTACTGAAAGTGCCGCCACTGGCTCTCCACGGGTGTCGAAAAAGAGCTTTTGGTGAGACACCTCGTTGGGTCGCAGGAGAGTAGGGGGAGACTGCTGCCAAGGACGGAGTTTGTGCGCTACGAGAAGGTGGTGTGCCTGACGGCAGTGCGAGAGGGCACACGCCATGCCTCACACTTACGGTACACCGGATGAACCACAATTTGAGGATCTGCGGCGGTTTATTTGCTCCAACTGCCACGCGGTCGGTCTCTGATGCGGCCCGTCGTGGTGTGCGGTATCCTGCACCCCGCCGAGTCCGTGACGCAAGAGGCGGGGACGCGCATTGCCGTGCAGTCAGCAGCGCCGCCCGCACCGCGTGGCTGATGAATGGCGGTGTTGGCGAGAGTTCTGGCCATTGCTTGCGGAGGTTACGGGTCTCGCTCAGGCGAGGCCAAATTGCCGCCCCACCCAAGCAGGTGGCTTCGGCTTGTTGGGGTTTCGGCACTGCGGCGTTGCTCGCACCTGTCGGGGCGGTGGTATGAATGGAGCTGACGGTGTCGCCGGGGTGGAGTTGGAGAAGCTGCCCCGCGCAGAAGGCGAGGCAACTGCGGTGGGTTGGGGCCGCGATATTCCACCCGGATCCCGCGGCGAGATCAGTGTGCGATAGCGCGCCCGCCAACCCACCGAGGCCTTCCCGAAGTTTGCCTACGCGGGGGAGGCCAACCGGAGGAGATATCGCCACGCAGTCAATCAGCTCCGCAGGATTCCACGGGGTATGGGGGCAACATGGGCGGCGCAGAACAACGAATTACGCCAGGCAGACGGCGGGCCGCCAAGGTGGCAGTCCCGGCAGACAGCCGCCGGAAGCCGTCGTTTTGGACCCCCGAACTGGCGGAGTTGGACGGTGTCGCGGCCAAAAGCCGCTAGCTTGTGCTCGCTACGCGCCAGGAAGCAGAGCAGTCTTGTGAGGGTGGGTGTACGCGGCGGAGGCGAGGAGACACCCGGGGTTTCACGCCCTCCGCCGCCCCAACAGGAGCCCTTGCACGGGGACAGTCTCACAGAGCTGGCGCCGTGGAGTCATCATGCTCCTCTTGAATCGGGGAAAAGACTTCCGACCCCAGAGCGTTGCCAGTCTGCCGCGTCGGCCACCTGCCTTGGTAAGCTGGTGGAACGCATTCTTGCCGCTGGCGCCTGCGGCGTTATGGCGTCTCAAAGGCCTCCCCCGCGGTGATCCGGTTTCCGACCCGAACGCTCCGCAGGAGCCTACGAAGCCGTCTTTTTGGACTACGCCAAAGTCGCTGGCGCAGTGGACCACGACAAGATCCTCGTACATATGCGGTGAATGGCTATTGCTAGCCACATTGTAAACTGGTCAACGGCATTCCCCAAGGTAGCAGGCACGCCGGGGTTGGCATCGACCGAGCCACCGCCTTCCCCGTGACCACACGAAGAGTTCCGCTGGGAGCAGTGTTGGGTCCTCTTCCTGTTTATCAATGCGATAGGCTTACTCAGTGCCCATCTTGTTGCAGAGCTTTTTGTGCGCCATGGTTTCTTTGCCGATGACAGCGCCCCCACCATGCGCCACAGCAACAAGGATGTCCTCCACTGGACTCCGCAGGAAGGCCTGAATGTCGCGGCGGAGTGGAGCAACAAGCCCTTCGTGGATGCCAACTTTGGCTCTCACAGGGCGCTCCCTCGTTGGTACAGGGGGCGCCCCGGTCACTATGGAACGCTTTCCCACCCTTTTGGGTGTCGCGTTGCAAGACGGTCGGGGCATAGGCAGCGCCCGTGTTGTTTACCCGCATTGGGCAGCGAGTGAACGATTGCCCCGCTTGGCAGAGATTTCGTTGTGTTTTTGAGGGCGGAAGAGAGAGACCCTGTGCAGGTTTTATGCCTTGTTCCGGCCCTGGGCGAGGGCTACGCACGGCATCGAGGTGTGGCATTGGGGCGCCTCTCCAGTGTCTTACTCTACACGTTGCCACTGCCTGACGCCCGCAGGAGAGCTCGGCGGCCCCGTCTTGGCGCTGTTCCCTGCGCCTCCCTTGCCTCCCGCGCCGTGTGTCCCCTTCCACGCCTCATTGGGCGACGGTGGCGCAGCGGACCCCAACGAGGTCAAACTTTCAAACTTGCGCCCGCACTGGGTCTTTCAACCTTCTTTTGCAGGAAGCAGCCAACCCCACACCCGGCTGAGCCCACGCGGCTGTACGATGTGAACAGTCCCTGGCCCATGCAGCAGATCCCTGACAAGGGAGACGAGACGCCCTTCGAGGAGGATTAGATGTGGCTGTTCAAATCTATTTCAGTGCATCAAATGGAACAACATGACCCCGAAAGGAACTAGCAGGACCTTTCGTTTGTTGGCCACGAGCAATTCCCACGCTTGCTGGAGCGAACTGCACCGTGAACACAAACAAACAAAAAACGAAGGGAACACCTCTTTATTTACTTTACTGCTCGGGACGTCTCCAGCACGTGTGTGTGTGTATGTGTCTGTTTTTGTTGACGCGCGTAGCTCCACTGCAGCCGGAGACGAAGGGAATTGGAAAGAAAAACAAAAGGGGGAGATAGGCCGCCACGAGCCGCGTCGACAGCCCTATTTGAGGATGTCTTCCAGTGGCTTCTGCTGCCGCTGCTGTTGTGTGTGAGTTTCTGGGTTATTCTGGTTGGAGGTGCATTTTTCTTCCCTTCTCGCTCCGCCATGTGAGTTAGGAAGTGTGTGCGGCGCAGGCCCCATGGCGGCGGAGCTGGCCCACATCGTCAGGAAGAAGGAGGGCATCCTCGCTCTGGAGCCTCACCTCGACCGCCGCGTCGTGATTGCGGTGGCGGGGAGGGAAGTGCACGGCATCCTCAAGGGATTCGACAACAACATCAACCTCGTCGTGGCAAATGCGGAACTGTGGGACAGAGATGTCCTCGTACGGCGCCTTGGGGCGTGCGTCATTCGAGGCGGCTCGCTCGTCAGCGTCTCCTCCGGCGACACCACCATCCTGCAGCACAACCCCTTTGAATAGCCCACCCGCCCCCAGCCGCAGAGTGCGCATGGACCGCGGCCATAATGGCAACGAATGATATTGTCACAGTGCACGCACACGTCGTGTGTGAGAGGGTGTGAGGGTGTGTGTGGTGGGGGGGGGGGGAAGAAGAAGGATGAAAGGAACGGGGAGGAAGACTTGTCATACGGTTGTGCCTCCCACTGGGTGCGGCCTCTGCCCACCACCACCCCTTTGTGGGCATATATATCTGCATGTGTGCACCGCTCCCTGGTTCGTGTTGGGACGTTTTTGCGACTGTCGTTGACCGTTCCACTGTCAAGCTCTGCGTCTCTTCTCTTTTTTTTATCTTTGTTGCCGCGTCTTGTGACGGACCGCGTTCCACCACACAGAGCTTGCAACCTTTTGCTAGAGCTTACACGCTGTTTGTTTGTTTTTGCTTGGAAGACCCGGCAGACAAGGATGACAACAATGCGCCCGCCCCTGATCGCCACGGTGCCCTTGCTGTTGTTGCTGCTGCTGTGCTGCGCCACCGGCCGCCTCGCCGCCTTTACCGCCGCCCGTCCCACCACTGCCACTATGCACCGATGCATGTTCGAT